AACAAAAGGTCTTTCCTGCTCTGAGAAGGAGTCGCTTTTATTTGCGTATCTCCTGTCTTCGTTCTTGGCGCTGAGCTCCGTTGTGTGAACGGGAGGTGGGATGAAGACGTCTGACTATAACCAGATCCCTGCATCTGATTTTTGCCCGCTTTCCTAGGTGAGGCGGAGTAGGAGGTAGCTTTCCTCTGCAACTCCGACGGCTTTCTAATGCTGACAACAGGAAAACCTTGTGTTTGGTTTGTAAATCAGTTAGGGCTTGAGGCTGTTTGTGGAGCAGATGAGCACAGTAAGAAAGTGATGCATCGTCCATCATTTGTGCTGCCTGTGACCATGCCTTGAGCTGATCCTGCTGGCAAGGCTGTGCTGGCCCCATCTGAGGCAACGGGCTGCCATAACTCCCGATTTCTAAGGCAAGTCAGAGACACGGGCGTGTGGAAATCGCGCCGTGTTGTTTGCTAGGATTGCGTCCAGTGCGCAACGGGCGGCGATGCTGGGAGGAGAATTCAAACAGCAAAATGCTGCATCGTCGCAGCTGGCGTCGTGGGCTGAGTCGGGCTGTTGAGCAAGGTGTCTGATGAGAGTTGCGTGTGCATGTCTTAAGGCCAGTGTCTGATTGCTGGGTGTCTCAGCCCTTTGGGGAATGACACCGGTAGCACAGACCGCACTCTAATGAAGTGATCTCCTGCTGTTCCTTTGCGGGCAGTTACTCGGTGAGTGATGCCTTTTGCTTATAGGACCTTCTCAGTTTGAAACTGAGACTGCTTCCTGGCCATCCTGACGTCTTCAGGCTGCTACGCTGTGCCCCAGGTCAGATGGGTCCAAATAAACTGTGGTTTGTACGCTGCACAGCTGGGACCTGTGCTCTTGGTTCTTCACCAGGCCCTCCCTTTGATTAGAGTCTTCCATTTCCCCATCTGTAGTGTGACAATAACATCCTTACCTTTGCCGGCAGAGTATTGAGGTTGAACATTGGTTGTTAAGCAAGGTAAGAGCCCCTGAACAAATGTGCAGTGTTATCGCCTATTGTTGTCATTTCTCGGTACAAACTCTTGAGCCTTTTGTTTTTGTTGGCTCCCCACAGTGTGACTAGATAACGTAATCTCTCATCAGCCTTCTCCACCAGCCCGTATGGTTGCTATTATCAGGACCTGGCTTGTGACATTGCTGCAGCCCCCACCCCGGGGATGGCGGGGACGCGACTGAAGTGCCTTAAGCGGGGTGATTGCAGAGGGCTCCTACTTACACACGCTTGCCTTGTCTGAGCCTGGTGCCTCTGAACGCCGCCAGCACAGAAGCACGCTCGCGGTGATGTGTGGGTGTCAACGCTTGCTTTGAGTGACAGTGTGAATCTTTCTAGTCATTGGCTTTGCGTTTCAGCCGTTTCGGTGCTGCGGTGCTCCTGCCCCTCCGCTTGCCAAGGGGTTTGACAGATGGAGAGGAGAGTCTGAGCTGGTGTCCTTTTCTTGCTTCTTCCACGTGGATCAATAAGATACAGCCCATGCCTAACGAAAGTGCAGCCGAAGAGAAGAAAACACTTTCTGATGGAATCTCTTTGCCCCCCAGGGACTATATGCCAGAGCAAACCCAGCGTGCGTGTGCAGAGGCTGCCCTGCCTTCTCCTGGGCTGTCCTGTAGCTGGGTGGGCAGTGGGTTACACCATCCCACAGCCTGTGATTTCAGAGGAGGATGAGCCAGGAAGGATGAACATTTGCAACACCGCTGACCTTTGCTATGTGTTCTGGTTGATCCGTTTGCTTCTTTGCTACGGTTGGGTGCTCCCTTGTTACTCCAGAACACCCCAAAGACCAAGATGTCTTCCTGGGATGTGCTGAAGTGGGGCTGGCAGATGAGACGGTGTAAAAATCCTTCAGGCCCTGGCTACACCCCTTTCCCGGGAGGAGACGCAAGAGAGCAGCAGTGAATCTCCCAGAGAAGAGCAAGAGCAGCAATATTGAAATTAGTGGAGAGCAGAGAGCTGTTCCTTTCCCGGCAGCAGAGCTCTTGGCTGGCTGCCTCCGTGTCTCCCAGGGCAGAGGTTTGGCAGTGCCCAAAGCCCCGCTCTTCGTGGAGGGCAGGACAGCCCGAGGTAGGTGTTGAAGGCAGCCCCTTAGATGTCGTGCTGCGTTTTTCTGTTACAGGCTCCTTAGGATACTGTTTGCAGCACTGATGGAGGGGAGGGTGTCATTGTGCCGATATTTCCAGGTTGAACATCAGGAGGCTTTAAACAGAAGACTAGGTTGAGCAAAAATGGGGCTATAATCCACCCTGAAATTAAGATGTTCACTTCGAGCATGTCTGGTCCCTTCTCTAGCCTGGGGATGTGGGGACATCTGCTCTAGCCTCTCTCTTTTGAAGGTGTTGCCTTCTGTTCTGGCACACTGGGATTTTGGGGGTGGGGGGAGTTGAGTCATTTTTGCACTGAGGCTGGATCCTGTTTCCTGCTCCCTGTTACCCATACACTGGCCTCAGGAGCAGCTTCACCTTCACAGCGGGGAGAAGTGACTAATCGGGTGTCCATCTGGTCAGCTAACGGGGCGACGTGCTCAGCAGGACCCTCAGCCGCCGTCTGCAGCTGGCCCAGGACGCTGGCCCTGGCTGCTGCCGGAGAGGGGGGTGATTCAACCTGGCAGTCGGCTTATCCCATGTCTGCACTGGGGAAGACGGAGGCATTAGCTCAGGCAGTTGTGGCTTCTTCCCGAAGGAATGCGTCACGTTGCCATCTGTCCTTGTTTAACGTAACGTGCTGGCTGCTGAGCCAGGCAGCAGAGCAGGAACAGGGCTTGGCACCTTCCTTTTGATTTGTGGCTTTCCCTGCAGCACTTGTTTTACTTCACGTTCAAGACTGGCTTTGCTTTCCACTGTGGTAGTTTTATGTTGCTGTTGTGTGGTGGCATTTTTTTTTTTCAGCAACGAATAGCACCTACAACAGATTTGGGCAGACTTACTGGAGGAGAGGAGAATTAAGTCGACTTACGTGGAGCAAACATTCTTGGAGAGAATGCGTGCCTTCGTCTAATCCCTCTCCCCGGAAGGCAATCTGTGCGTGGTATCACACCGGGCTTGCTTTGCCATCCGGCTCGTGCAGTTGTTGGAGCTAAAGCCTCCTTGGGTCACTGCATGCATGTGGCTGAGGGGCTGCCCAAGCCTGCGGTATTGTTTTGAGTTGGATGCAAGGCCTCCCTTTTGGGGAAGGTTTCTAAGAATAGATGGCTATACATGCTCTTAGCCCGGGATCGAAGCTTCTCAGAGACAAGCTCTCGCTGGATTTAGCAGTGGTGACAGAGAACGTTGTTTCTTTGAGCAACCGACATGCTTCTGGCAGAGGCTGCACGCTCCCCTTGCCAGCGAGCTGCTGCGGTGGAGGGGAAAGTGCCTCTGATCAGCAGCTTAACGTGGGACAGGGAGAAACCTGGGGGTTAACGTGGGGGGATATGGCTCCAGGCAGAGCAGCAGACTCGCAGGGAAGCGTCCTGAGCTGAAACAACCAGATACCAGCTTCAGAGCCCTAACAGTGTCCCTTCTCTCTGTGACACGAGTTAACACGAGGGAGAAATAAATTGCCTTGCTCTGCCAGCGGGCACCTACTGCAGGTGTTGCTTTGCTGTGGAGGAGGGATGGACTTGGCATCTCTTGGGACTGGCTTAGGTGGGGATTAACTCGCTTTGCCGCTGAGCTAGAGCCAAAACGCCGTAGTACCCTTCGCACAGGAGACTGCAGGGACTTGCCTGTGCTTGGAGAAGATGCAGTTAAGAGGCGGGGAGGAGCATCAGCCAAGAGCCCTTTAGCTATTGACAGGTTTTATTTTTGAGGTGGTGTCTGGAAATAGTGCTTTGAACGTGGGCTGTGCAGCATCCTTAACCCTTTGGGACAGTCTAGACCCGCTTCTCTGTAAAGCTGCTGGGTTTGGGTTTAACAGAGGAGAGGCTGTGGCTTGTGGCGCTTGGCACAGCAGAGCGCATAGGAGCCCTTGATGCCTGGGTACATTTGATGCTGTGCTGCCTGTTCAGCTCGGTGCAGTGTTTGTCGGGACAGCGCGATCCTTCAGCGCTGGAGGAGAGATGCAGGTCGGTACCAAGGGGGGGGGAATCCCTGTGGCATCAATCCTTGGGAGTCCTGCGAACCTGTTGGTTTTCAAGCGAGCTGCCGTCAGTAGGTTTCAGAGTTATCTGTGAGGTGTTCTGCTGGTAGCTGTGGGCTGTTTCAGTCTCTGCAGACTGAGGCAGACGTCAGTCCTCCCCAGGTTGGAGCTGCAGTCTGCTTTGATGCCCATACGGGAGCTCGGGTGAAGCCGCCGGTCTGTGCAACGCCCGGGGAGCCAGGCTGCCCAGCTCCGGCAGCAGCTGGACGTGGGCAGAGCTGTGCCGCGGGCGCTGGCGTTCATTCCTCGCTTCCTCTTTCTTCTCCCCGATGCAGGGGCTCTGCCTGATCCCCGCAGCGCTCCCAGGTCCTGCTCCCAAAGCTGCCCAAGTCTTTTCCAGCCCAGAACTTCTGCTTTGCTGGTTTCCAGCCTGGCGACGGCTGAGATGTCCTGTGGGTCGGTGCCCAGGAGTGAGGAGCTTTGTCACTTCAGCACTGACCTAGACTCACTTTTTTCACTGATTCATCCTTGGTTTGTCCTTCTTGGTGGTTGTTTTTTTGGTTTTTTGGGGTTTTTTTTCCTGTTTCTGCTGTTAAACCTCTAGCTTGGAGCAGCCTGGCGATGTCTGTCCTGGGGAGAGCCCATAACTCTGCTGAAGGATGCTGCCGTGAGGAAGGGGAGCAGAGCTGGGGTATCAAGAGCCCTCGTAAAGGGGACACGTGATGACCCAAGCGGTGTAATACATCATCGCGTTAGCCGTACGCAGTCGCAGTACCTCCTTTGCAAAGAAAAATACTCTTTCTCGGACTTTGCTCGCATGGGACAGGCCTCCATCGCAGATCTGCGTGTTGAAATGCTGATGTGTGGAAGTGGTGAATAAAATTGCTCTGGGCTAACGTGTTCTTCTTTTTCTCTTTTGCAGGAACGCCAAGGCCGTGTCAAGTAAAAGGCCATTCCTCCCACAGAGACTGCAGCAGAGATTACATCCCAGCTATCTTTCAGAGGGAGAAAGAAAGAGCAAAAATATTTCAGAGAGAAATTAGGACTTTTTTTTTCTTAATTTCATTGACTTCAAAAAGACTCTTACAAACTTGCAGTTTAAAAAAAAAAAAAGTATTGGAATTTCACAAGACATAGGACTTAAAAAAACAAAAACAACAAAAAAAATCCCTTCTAGGTAGACTATAGGTAAAAACTGTCCCCTTTCTTTTGGCTTTGGTTGTGATTTCAGAGCATACGCTTTGTTTTTTGTCTTTTTACTATGTTTTTTCGGATTTTAAAGTCCGTAAGTGGCATATGCCTTTTTTCTCTAATTTTTAAACCCTGCCGCTTCCCGTCCTTCCACCCCCTCGCGCCTCCTTCCCCTCATTTTGACATTTGCACTTGGAACACCAGGTTGTAACACCTACCACGGAAAGTGGAGTAACTTTTTTTTTTTCTTTCCCCCCCGACCCTGGCCTGGAAGAGGAGGAATTCTACGAGGAAGTTGGGGTTTTGGCCTAAGAAGAATTGAACAGAAATTGTCCACGAGGTTGTGTCTTAAAGGTGGTTCATTTTTCTCTGACCCTTTGTTACTCAAAAGTCAAATACTAGGAGTCCTAAGAAACGTTCTGTTCTTGTGCATTATACAGATTTACAGATTAAGCCTGGGTTAATTTGATTTTTGAAAGCTGAGAGCAGTGGTAAAAGCTTGTTTTGTTTACAGGAAAATGAATTTTGGACAAAAAAAAAAGAAATATTGTAAAATGTGTAGTGAATATGTTTCTTCAGTTTCTTGTTAAGCCAATGAGGAATGGGCGTTGCCTTTCTTTTCACCATTAATCACTTCTCAATAATAAACGTGAGATCCTGTTGAGCATCACTGTTGTCTGCCGCTCCCTTTTCAGCGCTGCCCGCTCCGTGGCGTAGCGAGGATGCGCACCTCCCGTCTCCCCTCCGCACGGCAACTCGGGGGCTTCGCTGCAGTATTAATACCTCAAATTAACGAGGGACGTGTGGTTTCTCCTCGGGTTTGAAGCAGGGTGCTGTGACCTGTCTCCAGGCGCCAGGACCGAGCTCAGGATGCCGTTATCGGGGTTTGTTCCTGGTCCTTTAGAATTATTTTTGCTCTTTGACACAGGAAGATGTCCAGTGGCACCGGGCAGAGCCCCTGCCTGCCCCCGGCCAGCCTTTCCCAGGGCAAGAGGGCCTCAATGTTCTGAGCTCGTTCCCATTTCACAGGTGAATTGAGGACTATCTGGCTCCTTCCAGGCGTGTGTGAAATGCAGACACCTCCTCGCATCCCAGAGGATCTCCCTTGAGAAAACTGCTCGAGGTGAAGAAATCAAAAATCCAGGTTTTCTGGTTTGGGCAGTTCAGAGGGAATTAAAGAGCCACAAACAAATCTGAGCCGGTAGCAGTGCTTTAATTGTCAATACTTAATGGGTCATCCTCAAGGAAAGTTGTGCTGTATTGAAAATATCTCAATTATTAAATTGCACTTGGGCAACTTTTGGAATTGGCCAGCTCGGCTTTTTCTCACCTTGGGTGAAAAAATCAGCCTGGTGAGCTTCACTTTCCCATCACAGGACGGCAAATGCTCACAGGCCCTGCGTGTACTCACCAAAAAGTTGGCTCATTTAGGGGGTTTTTTGGACTAATTCTTGCTTCTGAAAAGCAAACAGACAAAACCCAGCTCGAATAGCCCGGTCTGCGTCGGGCGAGGACCCATGGGGGGTGTAGGCTGGTGTCAGCAGTAGTTGTGTGGCCGTTTGTGTTTTATTGGGATATTTTACTTGTTTTCCTCGGAAGAATTTCTGTTCTCTCAATTCTGTGATGGCTTTGGCCTCTGAGCTGGCTGAAAACCCGAATTCCTTGCTGGTGTCCTCATGTGTTTTCAGAGGGAGTGTAAAACCTGCGTTGTCCAGGGGAAATAAGGGCAGAAAGCTTGATTTTTAAGGCCCAAATTAATTTGTCTTTTGAAAGAATTTTAATTGTGAGTAAAAAAAAAAAAAAAACAACCTGGAGGGAGGGTTTCTGGGTTTCGCTTGGTCAGATCCAGCTTGTTCCCCCTTTCGCTCTTCAAGCAACGACCCGAGAGACGTGTGAGGAGGAGGAAAATGCGACTTGAAATCCGCAGTACTTCAGTGCAGGTATAATACCCGCGATTACTTTTATGTAAGAAAAAAACAACGTGCCCCTGCTTGAATTTCCTCTTGTGTTTAGCTGCACAAGAGCTAAAATACTCTTTTCCCCCCCCAGGCTTTTTTAAGGCAAAGCAGGTGAGTTGCTGGGATGTCCCATATTCCCTGCAGGATTTATTCCGCAGTGCCTTCAACCTTGGTGTTGCTTCATGGAAACCAGCTGCTGGGTAGGAGCCTGGTGCGCCCAGGGACCTAAACCAGCCCCATTTCACCCCAAACTGGGGAGAAAAAAAAAAAAAAGGTAGTTTTGTACATTGCTGGCTGGCTGCGCTCTTCCTTTGCTGTTTGGCAGACCTGCGGAGCTTCCAGAGGGGAACGGAAAGGATAACACCAAATATTAAATGTTAAATATTAGGAGGTGGTTGGGGTTTTTTTTAAGGGAAGAGGCCAAGCGAGTGGCCCGGAGAGTAGAAACAGTCCTGGGAAAAAGGAGTAGCCGTGGGGGTGGAAGTGGATGTTCGGCGTGTGACGTTGAGGTGGCTGCGTCTGCCGCCCCTCCCGAAAGTTCTCGGAGGGCAGGACTAGCTGGGACCCGTTTCAGGCTGGACCTGGGCCTGTTCTGCTCTAAACTGGGACGAAACTGGGAACTCTGTAGTACAGCTGTGGAGGCTTCGCTGTCAGCCAGCAGCGGCGTGTCTCTGAGCGGCAGACTTCAGGATACGGGCAAAAAAAAAACAAACCCCAAAACCCCAACCCTTCCACAGTTAGAACTGAACGCTGTCCCTTCGTGAGCGTGGCACAGGTAAGAGCCAAAAGGTATTTATTACTGCTGTTGCTTTGCAAAAAAA